TCATCCCTGTGTCCCGTGGCTGCAGGGACCTGGGCAGCACTCACAGCCCAGCTGAGCCACTGGGTCCTGTCCCAGGGGAAACTGGTCAGCAGCACCCTTGGAGGTGGGTGTCCCCACCTTTATTACAGGACCTCTTTAAGCATTGTGGCCTTTCAGGACTTAAAGCTGGGGACAGACTTTTGAGCAGGGCCTGTTGTGACAGGACAGGGAGCGATGGTTTGAAATAAAAGAGATTTAGACTAGAGAGAGGGAAGAAATGTACATTGAGAGTGGTAAGAGCCTGGCCCAGCTTGCCCAGAGCGGTGGTTGGTGCCCCATCCCTGGAATGATTCCAGGTGAGGTTGGCCAGGGCTCTGAGCAACCTGCTCTAGCTGCAGATCCCTGCTCCCTGCAGGGGGTTGGTTGGATGAGAAGAACTTGAAAGGTCCCTTCCCACCCAGACCAGTCTGAACTGATGCTTCTGTGAGGTGTCCTGGGTGCACAGTGCCCGGGCTGCCTGCTGCCCAGCACGGTGCCTGCTCACCGACAGGGCTGGCCACGGGCAGCAGCGTGGGTGTGAGCCCCGGGACCAGCCCGGGCTGCAGCTCTTCCCGGGCAGCAGGGGGACACTGGGGGTCTGTTCCTGCCAGAGGGGGGTGTCCCTGTGTGCCGGGCAGCCCATCGCGCCCCGCTCACAACATCTGCTCCTCGGCGCAGTTGGCTCCGTGGCTCGGCCGTCCTGGGACAGCTGGGAGCAATTACAGCCCCTCTCGAGGAGAGGGGAAAGGTGACCTCAAAGGGAGATTTATGTCCTGCCCGTACGGCGGGGCCAGGGGCTGAGCCAGCTCCGGCTCGTGCGCTCCAGCTCCCTGTGTAACGGGCCCGTCCCCCTGCCCGCAGGTCCGCTACGCGACCTGGAGCATCATCATGGACTCGGTGGTGCCGTCTGACAAGGGCAACTACACGTGCATCGTGGAGAACAAATACGGGAGCATCAACCACACCTACCAGCTGGATGTCGTGGGTGAGGAGCGCGGGGCTGGGAGGGCTCACCCCGGGTCCCCATCCCTGCCACCCTCCCCGAGCAGGAGCGGGCGCTGTGCCCTGTGCAGATGGGGCTGGGCACCTCTGCAGGTCTGAGGCAGGGAGGAAGGTTCACCTCAACCCGTTCTGGGGATTTTTAATTGTGGTGGAAATAATTTCATAGACCAGACAGAAACTTTTTCTAATCGCCTTATTAGCCATAATTCCCAGCTGGGAAGGCTGGTCTGAGCAGTTCCACATGTGGAGCTGCTCTAAATGCCAGTAAATGAACCATTAAAAATGTGATTTAATTTGATTACACTGAGCAAACTGAAGGGAACAGTCAGCGAGGTGAACAAAGGGGTTTGTTAATGCTGACTCACCACAGTGGCAGCCGCTTTGTTAACGGCCGGGGCCCTCATTAGGTTTGT